AAAACTCATATTTTATCAATTTATGATATGTCCCATGAGCCTTTGCTACTTGAGCGTATGGCAATCTTTCTCCAAGTGCACAGACTAAAACAAAAGACGGCCATTGCATAGCTTAATCACTAAAAATAAAGGACTTTAAAAAGTATTTATATTTCATGTATTATATAACTCCATTTGGCCTGCAGCCATGGATAGATTTTCATTTTGGCCCCCTCGGGGAAAATGTTTGGGCACCCCTGGTTTAATGGAACCAGTTTGGTTGAGTAAATTTACAGTTTATTTCTTAGAGTGTGTACAAGTACTTTTACTTTCCCAATTTTTGAAGAGTTTTATTACTTTTACTTAAGTCCTTTTCTCATCAGTGAAATATTTTTAACAAAGTCATTTTCTGTTAAGATATCTTTACTTTTACTTAGTGTTTTTTTTTCAAGTACATTATAGATCTCTGCTGTCTTAAAAGGAAAATATTATGTACTTTTCAGGCACATACTGCAGTTAAATTCTATTCCACAGTCAAATGCACTGAAATGATCATCTCCTTAAGAACGTCCGACTGTTTCAGACATTCCCACTTCAGCACATCTTCACAACACTGCTTCAGAGGAGATGTGCTCTGTGGGGTGGGAGCTCTGCTGCAGAGATCCAGGGAGGAGCTTTGTGMAAATAGGCGGGGCTTTGTAATGTCYAGCGTTTAGGCAGCTCCACATGTCTAKCACAGGAGATTCAAGGATTTCTCAAACATGCATGAATGAGTCAAAGCAGCACTGTGGGTATGTTTTTGAMGAGGGWATGACATTATTACATTATATAAAGCTCAAAAAYGTCTATTTTGCACCCCCACCCCCCAACCCRGATGTTTGTACAAAACCCTCCTTCAAATGTTTGGACCATGCCGTTCAAAACAATCCTAGTGCAGCATTCAAAGGCATCAGCCTCCGGAATGATTGCTTTATTTTAGCTCCCTAAACCTCTGAGGTGGAAACCCAGTCCCATTCACCTGCAGAATCTTCCAGAACCATGAATTACAGCTTTCTTAGCACCCTGTTGTTTCTCATGTTGTGCTCTGTAACTAAAACCCCCCACAAACCCAAACAAACACACACTTACCACCGCAGCTCCCCAACATCTGGTGCTGTGAGCGGGTCTCTTTGTAAAGCAACGGGTCTCGTGGCGCTCGGGGATTTCATGTTCGGATCATCCCGAACACGCGAGCACATCTTCACCGTCGCAGGTTTCATTCATTCAAGGAGTTGTGCCAGAATTCAAATTGTACAACTGGAAGCCGCGCGTGGAACAATGGAGTTTCAGCATCAATGGTGYGATTAGTCTCAGATTTCCCCCATTCTGAAGAACCTCCTGACTGGGACCGGAATTGGTACCAAATTGAGAGCAGCAGAAGCTTTTTCTCTCTCTTGTCATTTTAAACCTTTTGCCATTGATCCAGGATGTTTTTGTCATTGTCTTAGTGCACAAACTGGCCTTTTGTGATGAGGCAATGAGAAGACGAAACAGTGATTAAGGACATGACCTCTCTACCAGTTTTAATGTGCCAATTTCAAGCTTTACCAGAAAAATCACACAATCAAAATCCAGGACCCATTGCAACAACTATATGAGGCTATTTTGTTGTGTTTTTTTTTTTTTTTTTTTTTTTTGCACAGGTGAAACACACCAATCCAA